ATCTAACAGGAATGGAATCATTGAAGGACAATAGCTCAGAACATAGTGATAACAACAGGGGATCTCCCGAGATACCGTCTCATAGTACCAAACGTAAATGTGCAGGGGGATCTCCTGGAATACCGTTCCGTAGTCCCAAAATAAATATGCTGGGGGATCTCCCGGAATACCGTTCCGTAGTCCCAAAATAAATATGCTGAGCAAGGGTATCTCCCGAAATACCGTTCCGTAGTCCCAAAGTAAATATGCAGTACAGAGGGATCTCCCGGAATACCATTCTATGGTCCCAAAGTAAATATGCAGCGCAACCAATTGAAATAACAGTTACAGCAAGAAATCCTACAGTTTAGACTAAGTTCGAGTCAAGGAAAGCAGGTAAGGCACTAAACATGCTGCATAAAGTTCAAATAGGCAGTTAAACAAGTAGGCATGCTATTCTAGTCTAAACAGGGTAGTTACATATGCTAGTGTGTTTCAAATAGCCCGTGTAGGTACTCGTCACCTCACGTACACGGCGCTCACATATCAAACAGTACCAAATCTTAAGGGGAGTTCCCCCACGCAAGGTTAGGCAAGCCACTTACTTCGAACCAATCTCAAATCAATCTATTACAATGCTTTTTCCACAGATATTCGACTCTGAATGGCTCAAATCTAGTCAAAACCAATTACATAACATAAATATAGCTGCAAGAAACTAATCTAGCTAATGAAATCAAAGGTAAGGCAAGAGATTAGAAAAACACCCAAAAAGGTCTACCCGGGCCCACGTCTAGGAATCGGGTGAAAGTTACCAAATATGAACACCCATTCACTCACGAGATCACTCATACCAAAATTATCCAAATCCGATATCTAAATCCCACTCAAAACTCAGAAATTCGGTTGGGGAACCTTTCCCCCATTCTCCCAACTTTCTCACTCAAATTCCTTAATTAAATGAAGAAAACAACAATAGATTAATGAAATATGATCAAAATCAAGTTAGGAATCGTTACCCCAAATCTCTCTCTGAAAATCCCTCAAAGAATCGCCAATTTTCGAGCTCCTAAGTCCAAAAATAGAGAAATGAATCAAACCATCAAAATTTTCTTTTTTCTGCCCAGCGAACTCGCTCTTCCGACCTCATCATCGCACCTGCAGTACCGCTTCTGCGGCTAGGACTCCGCACCTACGAGTTTTCATTAAAGTTCCAGAGTCCGCACCTGCGCGCCTAAGTCCGCATCTGCATATGCGCTTTTGCGTCTACATCGTCCGCTTCTGCGGAACCTTGGGTCCTTCTCATCTCCGCATCTGCGACTACCCTTCCGCAGATGCGGCTCCGCTCCTCCAACTCACTCGTCGCATCTGCGACCACTGACTCCCAGGCCTAAAGGCGCACCTGCGATCCCAGCCTCGCTTATGCAGGGTCGCACCTGCAGACTTCCCACCGCATGTGCGAAAACACCAAAACTAGCAAAACTTCAGATTATGCTCAAATCTAAATTTCAACCCGTTGGGCATCCGAAACACACCCGAGGCCCCCGAGACCTCAACCAAACATACCAACCAAATCCTAAAACACCATACGAACTTAGTCGAAAAGATCAACTATCATATTAAAACCATGAATGGTAACCACACAAGATTGGTATAAAATTTCAACTACAATAGAACCCCACACTGGCGAGACACAGAAACAGGAATATCAAGAGAATCGCGAGGCATACTCAAGTGTGATGCAAAATATGAGGACACATACAAATAAGTGAAACCCAGATCAAATAATACCAAAGCATCTCTATGACAGACCGAGATAATACCGAAGCATCTCTATCACCATTTGGAGTTATATGTGGCTCAATTGATGTCGCTCTAGCACGAGCATGAGTAGTTGAATGTGCTACTGCACGTGCACCAAATGGACGCTAGCTCTGCCATTGCCCCGGTCTCTACCCCTGGTAGGGGCCACAACCTATGGCTCTTGATCCTGCTCAGTTGCGGCTGAGGTACGCGTTCTCACCATCTATGAGAAAATAAGAGAGTAAAGATTCAAAATTTAGGATAGAACAAAATTGCATGATAGAGAAAGAAAGAAAGTGAAGTTTCCTAATTGTCCCATAGCCTCTCGAAGTTAAGTATAAAGGTCTCCATATCGATCCTCAAGACTCTACTAAACATGCTCATGACTCGTGAGACCTATGCAACCTAGGGCTCTAATACCAAGTTGTCACGACTCAAAATCCCACCAATGGTCGTAATGGCACATAACACGCCGGCTAGGCAAACCAATCACACAATAATTGAACGAAAGATAGAAATGAAGCAATATATATCACATATGACTGAGATCTATAGCATAAATAAGTCTATAACTGGCAAATATGCAAAAATAGTAATACAACCCCTAAAAACTAGCGTCAACGAGTACATAAGCTCTAAGAATGTCAGAATACAACAGTCCAAAATAAGCACAACACTATCTGAAGCAAACAACAGTCTTAAACATGATAAGAAGGTGATTTCGAGGTTTGCGGATGAACGGACTGCACCACCTCAAGTCTCCTGAGCACAACAATGAACTACTCCTTAGCCCTACTAGTGCCAACATCTGGATTTGCACAAAAAAATATGCAGAGGTGTAGTATGAGTATAACCGACCAAATGTACTCAGTAAGTACCAAGAGTAACCTTAGCGAAGTAGTGGCAAGATTGGTCAACTGCACTTACTATCATAACATGAACAGTCCATGAATAAATACAACACAAAAATCTAGGAAAATAACGGATAAGGTGATCAGATACAATTAACAGAGATAATAGCATATTTTCAGATAAAGAATGATAAAAAAAGCTCATACTGGCACACCAAATCAGCATATAAAGATGATATGGTTCACAGAGCATTACTATAAATGCCAAGTACGTAAGTCTATAATGTCTTTGCATGAATAAGACTCTGAGCCATCAACTGACACTTCCCATGTGTCCAATAAACATGCGCACACATGGCCCAAGGTACAAAGGGTGATTACCTGACTCCGGAAGGACGGATCCAAATTCATGTGTTGCACGAATAACTCACGTACTCATAATATCACTCTCATGAACAACTCATGTGCCATAATACTCATCTTATACGGACAACTCGCGTGCCTCAACCTCAGTCCATACAAGAGTTTTCATATACATAGTACGTGCATAAACGCCATAAATAACGTAAATGATGTATATGGACATAAGAGATTTACATGCAAAGACATGTGCATGTGAACAATATGACTACAGTTAGAACAAGTAGGACATGAAGTCACAATTAGCCATTTATTCTCAACAAGGTATCAAACGCCTAAAACATGGTTTCTATCATAATTAAGGAAGCTCACGTAGTCATACAAGAATAACAACAAGTCATAAATAGCATGTTATCTAAATTCAAAGCATTAAAGTAGCCGAAAATCTACCCCGAGCATGAATCGCCCATGGTACTCGAATATACGCTAGCCAACATGCATATACGACGCCCCCAATACATAGCAATTAATCAAATAAGGTCAATTTCCTAAGGAAGATTCCCTCAAGCCAAGTCTAGGCAAGATACTTACCTTTGGAAGCCAAATCAACCCTCCAAAGCCGTCTTTGCTTTAAAAATTATCTCCAACCGGCTCAAATCTAACCAAATAATACTCAATAAGGTCAAATAAAATCATAGGACTTGATTTTCAAACAATAAAGCTTCAATCTTTAATCAATTCCCAAAAATCAACAAAAGTCAACTCGGACCAGATGGTCAAGACCCAAGTCTAGGGGAAGATCATGTTTACTTATAACCCTACGAGTCCAAATATATATTTTGTTTTTAAATCCAAGTCCGAATTGATGCTCAAAACCTCAATTTTTACTCTCTTAAGTTGTAGCCAAATAGCCCAAATTCACTTGCTCATTATGTTTTGATGTTAAATCTAGCGATAAATTCATGTATAATACATAGATTTAGGTTAGAATCACTTACCCCAAGCTCCTCAAAATGAGCTCCAAAAGTTGCAAAATGGCTCACAAATGCTTTCAGTTAATCTTTTGGTCTAAAAATACCTTTAATGATTTTTTTGAGCTCAAATACACCCCTAAAACTAAATGGATGGATAAATTTGAATCTTTAGAATAGCCACGTGACATTCCCTAATCCTGCCACGTGTTTTATTTATAATTAAAATTAAACGCGCCCATATCTCAAAAAATCCAACCCACTTTGCCTGGTAACCCGCTTCTTTAAACATAAACCTAGGACCCCATGCTTCAGTTTTTTCAGGCCTTGTATTCAGTTCATGTCAATGATATTTTGAAGCAGTTGCTTCAGTTTGCAGCAGTCTTTCTATCAGTTGTTTATTTAAATTGAAGTTCATTTCAATGGTATTGCATTGCAGCAGTTTCTTTAGGCCTTGATATTGTATTGCAGCAGAGACTTCAGGCCTTGGTATTCAGTACATGTGAATGTGCTGATATTTTAACTGCTTCAGTTTTGAAATGGTGTTGTGAGGGTGTTCAAGTGTCTTTGAAATGGTTAAAGTTGTAAGCTTTAGGTTCTTGAAAAGTTTTGAGTCCTTAGGCTCTCGTCTTTGTTTAATGGATCCATGTAGTTCCGTCTTCTTACATCTCATTTTGTCATTGTAAATTTCAATTCTGTTGCAAAAGACATGAAAAGAATGGATCCATGTAATTAGTTATCGGGACAAGGTATATTTTAGCTTAATTGTTACTTGTGTTAAGTGAAATTTGAGTCAAAATAGCTGCATTTGGTTATACTCCCACTTGCGTCAAAATTTCACCAGCATCTGCGAATTTACTTATGAAATTCCTTATCTAGTCCATAGTAAATATTGCTCATATCATATTGCTAACAAGGATCGTGGGTTTATGTTTTAAAGAAACAGCCAAACAGGTTACAGGATCAAAGCGGGTTGGGTTTTTAAGATATGGCTGGGTGTAATTTTTATTATAAATAATACACGTGACAAGCAAGCTTAGGGAATGCCACATGGCTATTTTAAATATTCAAATTTATCCATCCATGGTCCGTTAGTTTCGGGGATGTATTTGAGCCCAAAAAACATTGAAGATATTTTTAGACCAAAAAGTTAACGGGGCATTTGTGAGCCATCTTCAATACTTTCCGAACAGGATGTAAACCAGCTTCTCTTCATACGCAAAGCAGCACAAGTAACAACTATCGTCGGGTATACATAACCAACAGTAGAACTTTACGAACTGAAGTATGACACAAATTGTCCAAAATCGCAGAAGCCAGCTCAGCTGCAGTAGAACTTTACCTAACTCAAGTATGAGAGAAAATTGTCCAGCTACAATCCTAGAACCCAGCTCAGGTCCCAGCCTTCCGCCGGCCAACACGAGCAACGAAACCAGCCTTGATGGGAGCAACCGATCTTCCAGATCCACACTACAAAAAGTTGAACAGATATTAAAAGCTTGCAACAAAATGAGCAACAATATCCAAATTTTCTACTACATTTCATAATTCCATCTTTTCTTCCCCTCTCAAATGTAGGAAAGAAGAAAAAAGCAAGGGGGATGATGTTCCAAACAACATAAATAAGAAAGCAATTGTTTTGGTCTTATATTCTCTTTCGAATTATAGAGAAATAAGTACATAAGAATCTTGAGCAAGCCCAAACAAATAAAAATTCATTCATATAGGCACCCAGCACGCAAATCAAAATAAACAAAATGGCATATAATCGGACAATGTAGGCAACTTTCACATTTCATCATAAACATTGTAAGAAGTAGCTAAAAAGACCAACATTTGCCTCTTGGAATCCAAGTGATATGACTCATCCCATCTACCCATGGTTTTTAGAAAATAGAAACTNGGGGCGCACACAAGTTACAAATCTGTTCATTTTTCTCATGCATTTATGGGTACAAGAGAATAAATCACAAGCTTTCTAGTACAATACCTTCTCACATCTAAGGAAGAAAAGACGGTTCTCCTTTGAAAGAATAGTATCCGGACTTTTACAGCCATTGCAGATGACATACTCATCTGGAAATAAGAGATGCTCAACAAGAGGTTGTAGCAGTTCAATTGAACTTAAAGTGCATAGTAAACCACAATTATAGATAGAGCAATGTTTAAGAAAGTTCAGGGAATAAATTGTCCTCCAACAACTGCACACAAATCACAAATGACAACAGGAACTTACTGACATAGCGCCGCAAGATTCCTTCAAAGTTCTTAGGAGCAAATCTTCCCTTGATAACCAATCTTTGCTGTCCATCAAGTGATCCACTTGTTCCCATTTCAGCCAGCAAGAAAGTCATAACATGCTCCGGCTGTCTGTGCATCCTATAGATAGGCATCAATAGCTCAAGAATTTAATGAGGGAAAATACACTAACACATAAATAATGACACCTTCTGCTCCTAGCACATGACATCTAACATGGTTGACACACTACAATAAAATATACGCCATGAGCCAATGCTTTTACTAAACAAACTATGTACCTACACAAAAAATTGTTAGTTATGTCCTCCAAAGTTCTTATTCTCCATATCGAGTATGATTATGATAAATAGATTGAAAACAAAAAACACTTGTTACTACTTACTAGAGGTATACCAAAAGGTCATATCCCTTCGCGACACTTCCTTTGTGCAAATGATATATGCAATGTTTGATCTAACTTCAACTCTTATGATCCAAGCAGTAGTTTCCCTCTAAAAATATATAGAATACAATATAAAGTCAGGAAGTTAAATGTCAAACGGAAGTTATTGCATATCTTTTGGTAATGTCTTCATAACTTTTGGTAATGTCTTTAATTTTGAACCCATAAGGGTAGGTTTGTTTTTATTGTTAACCCACAAAGGTAGGTTTTAATAACCACCCATACTGACATTCAACTTTTATACAAATCTAGAGCACCATGGGTTGTTTCAAAGAAACAAGATCCTACCACGTGCTAGAATTTGCACGAACCCTGCCTAACTAAAGAACATTATAGTTATAGCAAATTGTACAGGTCCAAAAACTACTCTGCATCATAGTTTATTATGCATCCTCGGGAATATAACTGTCAGTACAGGGAAGATGCTAAATCACAGAAATCTTAGTAACTGTTGAAATTACCAACTCCTGTGAAGCCACAGTACCAAATCAACATAACGACCCCTGAAGAAAGAACAAACCAAAAAGAGAAAGGCAAAAGAAACACACACAGACAAAAGAAGACACGATCACCAAGATCAATGATACTGAACATAGAATGTTCAGCCAAAATGAAAGAAATGGCAAAAAGCTACTCAGCCAAAAAATAGAAGGGGAAAAGTGAAGAAAGTTTTGGGAAGAGAAAAAGATCTTACGTCTTGCAAAGATCCATGAAATTCACAAAAACAGTTTTCTTTGTTCCTTCACGAAGAACTTGAGGAGGCCTCATAACTGTCCTACGCCTATCTCCAGCAAGCTCGGGATTATTCTCACGGAGAATGTTGAATACTCGGCCCAAAAGCTGCAGGAACAGAAGTAATCTGTGAAAATCCCTCTAGGTTGCTAAACAGGTATTTAGAGAAGAATACAAGGCAACAACCAAATACCTCCTCGTATTCATAATCTCGATCACTTCCTTCCCAAGGATAATGATGTAGAACAATTCCTTCAGCTTCTTCATCATCTCCAAAATGATCTAGTAGAAGAGAATGGAGTATATCTCAGATGCCATTGAAAAGTTGTAAATTGTCAAATCAAGAAACGTATGACAAAATCTTACCATCCACATCATCAGCCACGTTTTCCTTCTCGTCGCTCAGGAGGTCAGTGTGTGCCTGCAAAAATTCCAAATGGTACCACACTTAATGCAAATGATCAACAATATTACTCCTGTGGTTTTCTATACTCAAGGAATTCCACAAAAACCTTTTGTGGAAGCAATAACGCTCAACTCCAAAGTAACTATTTTTCTTCAATTTCAATATTGAAGAGGGGACAAAAAAACAGAAGAATGCTAGCACAAATCACTTTTACTTGATGAAATAACAAGATATCAGAAAATATTTCCTTTCATTAGTCCCACCTTTTCTAGCTTCAACCACGACTACATATGATAGTCTCTAAGTGTAAACAAAAACTTTTGTTTTCGTGGACACCAGGCCATTATGTGATTTCAAGAGTTCCTTTCAGAAAGTGCCTTAGTGCCATAAAAGTAGGAAGAAGGGTGCAAAATACAACTAAATTTAATTGGTTCCACCTTGGAAAGAGAAAAAACTAACCGGTTTCTTCTTCTTCTTTTTACCAGAAAATGCAGTCTCAAGTCCCTCAGAAACTGCATAGTAACAGATGAGAAAGACAAATCAAATTCAAGACCTCCCATTTTCTATACTAGCCCTAATTCTTTGAATTGTATATTCTTTGTATGAAAAGAAGAGAGTGGCAAAGGGTTGGCATGGTCACCGTTACATCACCTCTCTTGAGATAGAGGAAAAATTTGGACTAATTAGAAATTCTTGATATCAACGTACCAGATAAACTTTCAGTTTTCTCAGCCAAGCTATCAACCAAGTCATCTGCAGGATCTTGAATTACAACCTTCTTCTTTTTCTTCTTTTTTGTAGGATCAAAAGGAGCAATCTGTAAAAGAATAGTACATACAGAGATGGAAGATAGAGAAATAGTAAGTAATCACAGAGAGAAAAATTTCAGTATGATCTTAGCAAAACATTGAACTTGAACATGGAACATCCTTATCCACCCATCTGCTTATTTATCTATTGTGAGGGGTGAGCGAGAAGGGAGGTATGTGTTTTCTGGGACAAAACATTTGGAGGAAAAAAAAAGTAGAAAATGGAATCACTCTCCCACTCCCACACAGCACGCTTCCCTCCTGATCCTAATCATTCAATCAAATTATATCAATTAAACAAAACATTCAAAATTGAAATAATAAGAAATGATGAAAGTGGTACATCAGTCACGGTTTTCAGATTCTATAAGTTTTGTGTCTCTTCCTGGAATGTCATAAACATACAATGAAGAGTTGGATTTACCTAGTATTAAAAAAATTGATTACCTAGTATTTGTTTTGCTTTCCGGTAAAGGTAATTTACACAGCATTCATGTAGCCAAACTAGACTAGGGCATTACTTTATTTTGCTTCATAGTCAGGCACTTCTACAGAAACCAAACACCAACAGATTGAAGCTTGAAAGTCATCGGAAAAAAAAATCAGCTTCTCTATCTCATGAGATTATAATACTTGAAGATGACAGAAAATCGTCAACTGAATATCAAGTCCATAACTAGAGGATATAACACACTCGTGTACTCTGGGAGTAAAGTCTTCTAATACGTTTCTCAAAAGTAAGGAAAAGATAAAAGTTCTTTTATATCTTTAAACAGAAGTATCAACTAAGCCCTACACCTCGAACTCCACACTGGTGGATGTGTATACATCGCAACCCCCCATCAACCATCACCACTTGCCCTTCTACTACTACTACAACAACAACAACAACAAAAAAAAAACCCAGTTTGATCCCATAAATGGGGTCTTGGGAGGGTAGTGTGTGCGCACACCTTACCCCTACCTCATAGAGACTTGCCCTTCTACTACGTTATAGAAAATTTAAAAAATTAAAAAAAAAAGTTTCTGCTTCTTCGTATGACCGCAGCAAAAAGAAGCTGTATGTCTGCTCTTTCTGTAACATCCACTATCAGATTATCCTGAGTCTGGCATCACACACCAAACGAAGGCCCAGTCTTCAGTAGTAAATTAGCATTAAGGGTAATATGAATCTTTTTACACAAAAAACTCATATTGGCTGCTATTTAGTCCCGTTACTCACCAAGAATAAAAAAATGCAAATATAAGAAAAGCCATTAGATTTGAAGATGTCCACAACTTGCCACTATAGCTAAAGAAACCAGCAGAAAGAAAAACACTTTTGAGTTTTGACAAGATGGGAATTGAGATGAGCCAAGAATAATAACATGACAATGTAATCAAGACAATTATTATGTTATCACAAAAAAAGATAATGCAACTCGAACCTCTAATATAATGTTCTAATAAACCTTAGTGGCATTACTAAGATAGTGAAATACCAAACAGCAAAATAGAAAGAGAGAAATAAACTTACATCAGCAACCTCATCCTGCAACTCCCCCTTCATCTCCTTTTGATATTCTTCTTCAGCCATAATTTCAACTACCATCCAACCAATATTAATAACAAAAACAACAATAAATCTTATTTTTAAATAAAAAAATAAAAAAGCAGCTCCTAAAAAGTACTTTAAGAACAAAATGCAGCTCCTCAAAATAAATCTTACTCCCAATTGGTTACTATCAGCACTTAACACAGAAACCCTAACCGAAGAAATGTATAGGAAGCAACTGTGGACAAAATTTATGGGTGATAAAAGAGGAATAACCTAGAAGACAAAATCAGACGAATGAAAAGCTACCTTCTTCAGTTTTGCTTCTGCCGAAAAAATGGAATGCTATGTCAATTTTTTTGCTGTAGGTATTTGATGCTTAAACACAAACCTCTATTGCCCTGAGTAGTCTGGGCTACTTATTTTTAAGATTTGGACCGAAAGAAAGCCCTTAGTTTAGGCATGATACAAATTAAAAGGTAGCCACTCTTAGGGCTGTTGTTTAAAATATAGTCACGTTTGCAACATAGTTGTAAATAATCACTAACTTAAAAATACAGTAGAAACATGCTTTTTTGAAAGTTTAAGAAACTCAAATCTTGTAGTTCAATTTCCTGAACCTCAAGGAAAACTATCTAACTTGAGGAAAATTGCTTGAACTTTGAGAAAAAGTGCTTAATTATGGCAGTTTGACTTTCAAGAAAATTGTATGCATAAAGTTTGTACTCACTATTAAAAAATAATATTTCGTAATCTTGTCTATGAGATTCACTCCTTTTCTTGTTTGGTCAAAAAAGAATAGTAGAACAAATACAACAAGTACCTTTTTTTTAAGTTGTGACTATTTTTTAATTATTTTAAAAATATTATTTATATCCAAATAGCAGTCCTAAAAGTGAATATCCATGAAAATTACCCAATGAATTTGGAAACTCCAAACTTCAACCCTTAAAATAACTCCGAATTGAAGATTTTTTTTTCTTACTTTCACTTTTCTCTCTAGCAAATATGGACACATCGGCCCCTATCTCCAAATTAGATTTTAGTGTTTTCGTTATTATTCTAAAATTTTAAATTTTAAAATATATGTTAACTACATTGCAAAATAATGAACTTTATTATATCACAGGTTTACTCTCCCTCCCTTCCTACCTACCTCCCTCCCTCTCTCTCTCTCTCTCTCTCTCTCCTCTCTCTCTCTTTCTTCACTGCCCTAACGACAACATTGTCGTTAGGCCATTGTTGCGTCCCTCCACCAACATAGCCACCGGCGCCGCCAATCAGGTAAGAATTTTTTTTCCTCTTCGCCTTCTTTTTCTCTTTCCCTTTCCCTCTCTCATTCTTCTTCTTGCTTCTCTTTCTGTCTTCCTCTTCCTCTTCCTCTTCCTCTTCCTCTTCCTCTACTCCTTTCTTCCCCCGATTCTCTTGCCCCTTTCTAACCGAAATCTGGTGCTGGTGAAATAGTCAGCGGCGTCTCCGATCACCTACTCCCCCTGCTTTTCTCTCTCCCTCCCTCTTTATTCCCCTTTCTTCGGGTGTGTCTGGGTGAACTGCATCAGGGCAAGGCCAACACATGCTTTTTCTAGTGAAAATTCGGACACGCGACGGAGCGTGACTACCCTTACAAACAAAGTTTCATCGAGTGAGCATCCCCCCTAGTGGTTGTCCCTTTAGGTCCATCAGACCCATCTGCGTCCAGCCCGTTTCGACGTGCCCTAGGTCCCACCTTCGGCGACTACTGGTTACAGTGATTACTTCAAGGATAACATCGCCTTGGAAGCCAGGTTATATCTTTCTTGCTCAGTATTTGCGGTTTCACCGGTTCATTCTTTTTTGATTGTTGGTTTCTTGCCTTGTTCTTTGCAGTTTTTCACGATTGTAGTTATTTAGCGGCTTAATTCTCGTCATTTTTTTTTGACTTGTTCGTATCTGATTAGTAGTTGTTGCTTTGCCTGCCATAGTTGCTCGTTCGGATTTGTTTCATATAGTTGGTAATTACTTAGTTATTCATATTGGTTCATAATTATTTGGTTGCTCTATTATAGCGACTAAGTGCCCTTGTTTAAATTTTGTTCTGGCCTGCTTTATTCACTGCCTATCGCCTTTCCTTATTAGTGCCTCTAGTTTTAGTTATATTTGATATTCGACTTAAAGTATTATTTATATGCATGTTGCCTCGTATTTTTCTCATATTTTATGAAATTTGGATGTGTAATGTAATAATTTATTCTAATTCGTGATATTTTTATGTGTAGGAGTCATCCGGAGGCAATGTGGGACGAAAGCGCACGAGTTGAAGCAAAAAGTGAACAAAAGAAGAAAATAGCCCAGTGTAGTGCCCAGGCTAGCGCGTCGCACTGCCTAGGGCGCAGATTACATATGTGAATTTTTTGGGCAATAGCACAGTGCCAGGACTAGCGCGACGCGCTACCCTGGACGTTGGATGATGGGATTTTTTTTTACTTCGCTCGGGACAAGGTTTTTCGGCCCTACACACCCCAACTTGTATAAAAAGAAGTCTAAACCTATTTTGGAGGGGGAGATGTCACTTTGAGAGGAAAACACACACACGGAATACTCGGGAGCAAGGATTCTTAGTTTTTCTTCATCTTTCTTAGTATTTTCAACCATTCAACACTTATGAAATTGTTTAACCTTTATCAAGAGTGGCTAAAACCCATAAGTTCTGGGGTTGTGATTTAGCCATGAATATTGTTGTTTGAAGTTGACTTTACTTTGATTATAGTTCGCTAATATATGGTTATTTCTTCAATTCTGTGATTAATTGCTTAATTGTCTGGCCAACAGTTAGGTTCTATTTACTATCTATGTTATACTTGGGAAAGCTACGTCTATATTAGAGAAGAATTGAAGAGGGAGTGATCTTAACTCTAAGTGAGGGTGAATTTGTGGTTAGGATAGGAATATACCTAGTTACTATGCTTAATTAAATATTGTGATTTTTATGCGTTCTTAATAGATTGATTCTATAGGAATATATGTGTTAATCTATTTTGAATAGGCGAGTAGTAATTCAGGAGAATACTACGAGAGCAATTACTTGATTAATGAGCAATCATGAAAGAATTGTATGAAAGGGAGAGTTAATTAGAACACAATAGTATTGGTAAATCGATCACAACCCTGGAATGTTCATCTTACTAAATTCTCAACAACCATTTTCATCTTGATTATTAGTTACTTGTTACATTTATTGATTAGTTATAATCACACCATTAAACTCTGATTGACTCAACTAAATAACAATCTTGGTAAAATTAGTAGGTAGTTAACAGAAGTCTATGTGGGTTTGATACTCGACTTATCACTTTATTACTTGTACGATCATGTATACTTGCATGTGCATTTGGGAGCAACAAGTTTTTGGCGTCGTTTCTGGGGACTTGAATATTGACTAATTTACTAGCTTTTACTTTTGTTGTCTATTTCGTCAAGTCTGACGTTTCTTATTGGTTGCTCTGCTCCCAGGAACTTCAATTGAATGCAAAGGGTCAGGAGCCACGATAGACTTCAAGGCTTTGACCCCGAACCCGAGAGAATAATTCATAGGAGGTGAGAGAAGCAAGGGACATAGATAATCTTCAGACACTTGTTCAACTACTTGTGGACATGACAGACGAGCAACATATGGCGGTTTAGGAGGTGGCGATGCCTAGCATTGTTGATGTCACCTCCAACATTGTAAAGCCCAGAATCACTAGGCACTTTGAGCTTAGGCAGAGCATGATCCAGGTGCTATATGTAAACGGGTAATTTATGGGTCTTCCACATGAGGATCCACAGCAACACACTCTGAACTTCTTGGAGATTAGTGATACTTATATCACCAATGGAGTCACTCCGGACTATGTGAGGCTCACACTGTTCCCGTTCTCTTTGTTGGGCGAAGCAAAAAGGTGGTTAAAGGTGGAACCAGCTAACTCTATTACATCATGGAATGATCTAGCTAGAAATATTTTGGCAAGGTTCTGTAACGACCCGGCCGGTCATTTTAAGTATTACAATCCCATTTCCCCATTTACTTCTCATATTTTACTTTACAGTTATTGTGTGACTTTCCGGGGCAATTGGTTCGCGTCCGGTGAAGTTTTGGAATGAATCGGAACACTTAGTTCCAAGGTTTAAAGCTTAAGTTAAAATAGTAATCGGATGTCGACTTATGTGTAAACGACCTCGGAATTTAATTCTGATGATTCCAATAGCTACGTATGATAATTTTGGACTTAGGAGCGTGTCCGAAAAATTATTTGGAGATCCGTAGTGGAATTAGGCTTGAAATGCCAAAAGTTGAATTTTTGGGAAGTTTGACCGGGGGGTTGACTTTTTGATATTGGGATCGAAATCTGATTCTGAAAATATTAATAGGTCCGTTATATCATTTATGACTTGTGTGCAAAATTTGAGGTCAATCGGACGTGAATTGATAGGTTCCGGAGTCGTTTGTAGAAACTAAAAATTTCAAAGTTCATTAGGCTTGAATTGGAGTGTAATTCATGGTTTTAGCGTTGTTTGAGCTGATTTGAGGGTTCGACTAAGTTCGTATGATGTTTTAGGACTTGTTGGTATATTTGGTTGAGGTCCCGAGGGGCTCGGGTGAGTTTTGGATGGTTAACGGATCATTTTTGGCCTTGGTAAGATTGCTGATATTTGTTGCTGCATTTTTCGGATTTTCTCTTTCGCGTTTGCGAGTGGGCCCTCGCGTTCGCGAAGAGGAATTTCAAGTAGGCAGGATTTACTCTTTTGCGTTCGCGAGTGGGCCTTCGCGTTCGCGAAGAGGAGCTGGGTTGTGCATCGCGTTCGCGTTTGGGTATCGCGTTCGCGAAGGGAAAAATAGTGGGCATGGGTTTTTGCCTTCGCATTCACAAAGGGGAGCTCGCATTCGCGAAGAAGGGCTCTCTAAAGCATCGCGTTCGCGAGCAGTGTCTCGCGTTCATGAAAAGCAAATGTTGGGCAGCACATTTTGTGCTTCGCGAACGCAAGGGACCTGTCGCGTTCGCGAAGAAGAGAGGTCTGGACAAAAAGTTTAAGTTTAGAAAATGGGACTTAACGATTTTTAATGATTTGGAGCTCGGATTGAGGCGATATTTGGGTAATTTTCAGAGGAAACAACGGGGTAAGTGTTCTTAACTCATTATTGGTTAAATTACCCGAATCCATGGTTGTTTTTATCATTTAATTGGTGAATTTAGTTGGAAAAGTTTGAAAACTCTCTTAGTTTAAATTATGAATTTGAAGGCCGAGTTGTGGTCGGATTTGAGTAATTTTGGTATGGTTGGACTTGTGGTTGAATGGGGGTTCGTATTTTGTGAGTTTTATCGGATTCCGAGAAGTGGGCCCCACGAGTAATTTTTGGGGCGTAATTTCGGATTTTTGGAAAATTTTAGTATTTTGATATGGA